CTGAAAGTTACGATTTCTCTTTTTTTTTTTTTTTATTGAATGAATCTTCATATGTATAGTTATATACGTTCTATACTTATCGATAAAAAAAAAAATCAGTGTTTTTGGATACAATGAATTTATCGAATAATTTCAACGAGTTAATATTTAAAAATGAATATTGCATTGAATATTTGAGAAGAGCATTGAGAATAATCTCTCGGATAATCAACTGTCAATGTCAATTTGTACAAAAATACTTTGAAGGATAACTTTTATTCTCTAAGTATATTAGCATTCTTAGAGATACTCGTACACATCGAGCAATTTAATTTTTTTGTGCGAGGAAAATAAATGGGAAAGTAAAATCTTGTCGACCGTTAAGAAGAATTCTTACTCGTGAAAAAGATTATCGGTAGATAATCGAGTAGAGGAATATATTGTGATAAATAACGTGATGACTGCGTTTTTGAAGGTTCATTTGGCGAGGAGTGTGGACCAAACGAGGTGTTCAATACGTGTGGGTCGGCGTGTGCACCCACATGTGCCGAACCAAAAACGCGTATTTGTACCATGGTTTGTAAAATATCGCATTTTTTTCTATTACTTCTTTGTAAAAATTTTTAATTTTCCTTAGAATTTCTTCTGATTTAATGATATATCTTATTTTTTCTTTATTCTTTTAGCAATGTCGTATCGGTTGTCAATGTCAGGAAGGATTCTTGAGAAACGGCGAAGGAGCATGTGTCCTTCCACAAAATTGTTAAAATTTCCTTCGCTTGATTGGAATTCACTCTTCGCTTTCTTCTCGTTTTCTTTCGCTTTCTTTGTTTTTTTTGTTATCGTTTGCTTTTCTATGTTATCTTTTCTAATTCAAAACAGTATATATACATGTATATATAAATAAATAATAAACTGTCGTTTCAAAAGCTTTATTCATTTTGTTAATTCATTTCTTATACATCGTACCAAGTATCACACGAATTGAAAGAAACGTGTATTCAAACGCGTTACATTATCGTGTACTCGATACACGTTTAACACGATAAACGCAAACACGAGTTAATATCTTTTGAAAATAAGTCGCGAGTATACGCAAAAATCTTCGAAAAGGATTACTGCAAATTTACATATCATATTCGCCTGACAAATCGTGTAAAATACGAGCGCGAATGTAAGAAAGAAAAGAAAGAAAAGAAATAAATAAAAACAAATTTGCACATTTTAATAATTACATTTTATTTTTTCTCGAACACTCCTATATTTGAAGAATAGCATTTATTTTAATTAATTCATATGAAAAGATCTTAACAGTGCTTAGGTGAGATACACTTGTTTGCGGCATTCCTTACGAATCCTTTGATACAAGCGCAGCGAGGTTGACATACCTGATGAAACGATCAAATCGTATTTAAAAATCGAACGAAATCGGGTAAAAGATTTTCACGGCACGTGTACAAATAGTGCGTGTACGACACCAACCTCGGGACATTCGATTCTTTCAACTCCACACCTTTGGTCGCAACCTCCGCATTCTTTAAATTGTTCGTTTTGTCCACAAGCGTTCACGTTGCTTACTAAATACATCGAGACAACACAAAGTTTGCGATTGAGCAATAAATGAACGACAATAAAAAGAATAAAAATTGATGCGAGACAAATGATAAATTTGAAAGGTGCAGAATATTCCGTTGGATGTTAAGCAAGTACTTACTACAGATATAAGCAACGACAAGAAGAATAAAGAGTATGGCACGGGACATTTTTGAAGCAGGATTTTCTATCACAGTTTTCGAGCGAGAATAATAAAAATATACTTTTTTGAAATTTGTGAAAAACGGGCAGACTTTATATTCGATTTATTCGGCCTTGTGAAAATTGTTGCTTTTATTTATTATTACTTTATCGTTTTTACTTGTCCATTTCGTATCGCGCTAATGATATCGGCTTAAAATATATAATTAGACGTGCAATATTTAATGGAATATTTTACGTGTGACACGAGTATGACTCGCATGATCAATAGTTAGCCTTATTCGATTTTTTTATAAAGAATTTAAGGAATGATTGTCGAAGAATCATAATCTTAATAATTGGAAATGTAAAATCTTGAAGTGTACCAAATTAATAATACAATACAAATTCAGATTTTTTAAAATTGTTAAAAAAATTGAAATTGATTTAAATATTGTCAATAAATGCATTGGATTTGTTTAATTCTTGCTAAATTAATTAATTTAATCGATAAGGTAATGTCTTTATTTCGATCGAATATCGAGTAACAATCGTAATTGTAAATAACAATAATAAACAATAGCAATCGTAAATAGAAAGTTAATTTCAAATTTTAGAATTTATTTTTGTTCATTTATCTTTACCACTTAAAAAAATAACTCATGAATTGTTTATTCCACGTTATCGTATATTAACATAAAAGAATGATTAACTATTTGATATGGAATATTAATCGACATTTCTCAAAATAACCAATGAAACTAAAATTCTAACATCATTTTTCTTGTTTTTAGTAATTTATGTCAAATAATTGTTATCGAGAAATTAATTATCAAATAATTGTGAAACATTCAAGATTAGGGTTTTAATATCACTTCTTTCGAACGAGTAATATCCTAATTCAAAAATTCGTGATTGTAAAATATTTTTATTGTTGTTTCAATATTGTGAATGCGTGTTTTAATCTAAATATCATGATGAATATTTAAAATATATATTCATATTGCATTAATTATATCGAAAATAATCGAAATAAAATTATACGTATTTAGCTATCAAGTAAATTATTTAGTATTTATCTAGTTATCTCTATTATTTGTTATTATTTTTAACAGCATTAAACGAAACACGATTAATCGCACGAATTTCAACAAATCTCGCCTCTTGTGGCAGAGATCACGACCTCTTCGTCTAGATTGTAGACTCGTTAGAAATCGCTACGTTATCTCAAAACGGTTTTTTTTCTTAAAATTACGTAATGACGAGAGACAAATATTTACGATCGAAAAATAATATTTATTACAATCGTATAAAATAATATTTTCCAAAATGTATCCATTATTATTCCATCTATAATATTTATATGATTTCAATAGTAACGAATATTATATACAAGATTTCTTATTTCCACTGTTATCGAATTATTAAAATAATTATATGAAATCAAGTGAGATTAATCTTGATAATTATTTGCATACTTATAAAAAAAAATATTAACAGCTTGACATTATTAAAATTCGTTAGAAGCATAAAAGAAAACGTATCGAAAAATTCAAGTTTTGTTATATAATACCAATAATTATACCAATTATAGTCAATTTACACATGTATAATTATAATTATCTATAAAATCAGGGAATATCAAATATCTATAAATAATACAACAAACAAATAAAAAGAAGAAAAAATAATGGGAAAAAAGATAAGCTTTCCTTTTTCACTATCTCGATCAAAGAATCAATTCGATTCTTCTCGTATCGATTTATCAATCGCGCACGACATTGTCAAGGCTGTGCAATTAGCGTGGTTCGAAAGGAGTGAAAAGGAGGGTGATCGAAGACTGATTCGATTGGGAAATTTTAGAATCGTGAGTCTCCACTTTGTCAGCGCAGCGATCAATCCAGCATCCTGGATATCTCTCTCTCTGTCTCTCTCTCTGTC